GTGTCTCTAGGTTAGTTAACACAGTCTCCCTGGGGACTCGACCCCTCTGTGCCGCGATAGCTTGTTTGATAAGATGCAGGAAGCATTCTTTCTGATTTTCCAAATCAACTGAAGCCTAGTCTGCGATCACACCACTGGTAACGGACGAAGGCTGGGATTTGAACTTGGTTCTCTTTATAGCTGAGCTCCCTTGCTTATCGTCAAAGCCTCTCTTCTGATTCTGGATTCACTCCAGCAGTCCTTGATGATGTGGGGGGCTGAAGACCGTGGAGGGGTGACAGTGTCTCTGCTGTCAAGGTGCCTTTTGGAGACCTATCAGAGAACTTGGGTCCCTGGCACCTGTGTGGTGCTTACGTCTGTGATGCTGATAGCAAGTCGTTTTTGTCTGCAGCTCGGCAAGTCTGTGGTAGCCAAAGTGAGAATCCCAGAAGGCACCGTGTTAACCCTGGACATGCTCACCGTGAAGGTGGGTGAGCCGAAAGGCTATCCTCCTGAAGATATCTTTCACCTGGTGGGCAAGAAGATTCTAGTCACTGTCGAAGAAGATGACACTATCTTGGAAGAATCGGTAGAAAATCATGGCAAGAAGAAAAAAATGTAAAATAAAGTGCCATTCTCTGAGTTATGAGCTGCCTTTTTGGTAGTGTGGAGGGCATTGGGGGGTGGGGGGTGGAATGGGATGGTTTCCTCCAAAGGGCTGACTTTCCTTCACCAGCCCACTCCCTGGACAGCAGCTGCCCCTGCGCAAGACTGCTGGAAGGGTACACAGAGCCACCAGCAGGGGAGGCAGGAAAAGCAGAGAGACAGGAGTGGCATCCCTGCCTTCTTTCAAGAAATACTGAAGGCCTACTGTGCACCAGGCACTGCTGGGGGTACAGAGCGGGGCAGGGAACACCCGAATCCTAGTCCTTTAGCAGCTTCTGTTCAGATGGGGGGCCAACGCACGATGCGTCATGAGCATGGTAAGTGAGGGGACCGACCACACACAATGCTGCCAGGTGCTGTGTGCATAGCGACCAACAGCAGAAGGCGGTGGGGATGGTGGGCTTGGGGTTTGCCAGGGAGTGCTGAAACCATCCCCTGCACCATCTACCCGATTTTATGTCGCATGCTCTGGAGTCCCAAGGCCAGCTCCCAGAGGCCGCACACTCTTGGTTTTGCTTCCTTGAGCCACCACCGCACACCTTTTACAGCACTCCGTGACAGTCTCCCTTTGCTCTTGTAAACCAGTCCTGAGATTAATGCTTGTCACATGCCTGTTTTGCCTTCTTTACTGTGCTTCATCTTCTCTTCAAATGCATGTAATTAGCCTTTTGAGGTGTACTTGTAAGTAAAAGATACCTCCTGTTTTCCGCTCCCCACCCCCCGCCCCACTGGTAGATTCCAAAATGATTTCTGGAAAGGTATGAGTGTTTTCCAGTGGGGTGGGGTGGGAGGGGGTCCTGCGTTGTACACTGTCCTCAAGAATACAGTATCTGGGGCCTACCTATGACAACCCCCATCATCATGGACAACTTGCCCTTTCAGAAGAGCAGAAAGGAGGTGGACCCAAGTATCCCTCCTTACCTGTGTTTGGCAGGAAGTAGCCAGAATGACCAACATCCATTCCGAATGATTTGGGTCCATATACCTTGAGTCGGATATGATAGGTAGGCAGGGATGCTTAGGGAAAAGGAGTTGTCCCCCCAAAGGCCCACCCACCAATCAGCTAGCCATGCCCATGAATAAGCGTCCTTAAGAGATCAGGCACACTTTAGAAGGGGAAGAGACATGTGCAGTCAGGATGTCTCAGGCACACTTATGCACCTCTCACCCCCCCAAACACACGCACTGAGCTTGGGGCGTGCAACGTAAGGACTAGCTACATCACATGCACACTTAAGGACATCCACCGAGAATTCACGCTGCAACAGGGCCTCCGAGTGGGTGTGGAGGGAGGCAGATAGGTGAAACCACAGCCCCAGGTCTTTTTGGTTCCACCTCCCCGTTTCCTTTTAAGATCACTCTGTCGGGGCTCGTACAACTCTGATCACAATCCATCCATCCATCCATTGTGTCAAGCACATTTGTACATTTGTTGCCATCATCATTCTTAAAATATTTGCTTTTT